AAGCAAAGCAACTTTATTGACCCTTTTGTAATGACAGCAACAATAAAAAGCATACAGAGAGAACAGTTAGACATTTCTTAAGCAGGGAAAAATGAGAAACCTTTCATAGCATTTGCTAAAATTACCCATTTAAAACTGCAAAAACAACTTAGAAGTTAAAAAACACTGTTGGGTTCATTTCTAAGACTCAAGACATAACAACTATCTTACTGGACTCTGGAAAGGAGACTTTCACACCAGAAACCTCTCCTTCACTGAAACATGATCTCACATCAAAGATGATCTTGGCGACAGCGATCATTCACATCTCCAGGACGTCAGCTGTGGAACAGCTGTTGTGGCTGGTTGAAGGGGGATTTTCCAAAAGCAGTGGGATTCAGAAATTGCCCTGCACTAGAGACTGAGAGGCATAACAGTTCTGCCTAATACATAGTCACAAACCCAAACAGGCACCAAAATGAGAACACAAAGAAACAACCCCCAAAGGAAAGAACAAGAGAATCCTCCAGAAGAAGAGACAAATAAAATGGAGATAAGAAATTTATCTGATATAGATTCAGAATAATGATGGTAAAGATGCTCAACAGCATGAGAAAAGATATAGTAACTATGAAAACACAAAGAATGACATAGCACAAGAAAACATTGGAAGGAATACAAAGCAGATTAGGGGAAGCTGAGGATCAGATCAGAGAATCAGAAGGCAGGGTTGAAAAAAATCACTTAATCAGAGAAACAAAAAGAAAAAACAATTAAAAAACCAGAAGACAGCTTAAGGAAGTTGTAGGACAATGCGAAATGTAACAATATTTTAATAGCAACTGTGCCAGAAGAGGCAGAAAGTAAGCAAGGGACAGAGAACATGTTTGAAGAAATAATAGCAGAAAACTTCCCCAGCCTGGTGAAGGAAAGTCACCCATGATCAGGAGACACAGAGAACCCCAAGCAAGAAGAACCCAAACAGGCCCACGCACAGACACATCATAATTAAAATACCAAAAATTAAAGACAAAGAGGATCTTTTCTTTAAAAAAATTTTTTTAAATTAATTTCAGAGAGAGGCAGGGAGAGAAACATCAATGATGAGAATCATTGATTGGCTGCCACCTGCATGCCCGCCAAGCCCCCACTGAGGTCACCCCCATTGAGGATCGAGCCTACAACCTGGGCATGTACCCTTTACCAGAATCGAATCTGAGACCCTTCAGTTCACAGGCCAAGGCTCTATCCACTTAGCCAAACCAGCTAGGGCCAAAGGGAGAATCTTAAAGGCAGCAAGAGAAAAGCCAACTGTTACCTACAAAGGGGGTCACATAGGAAGTCATCTGATTTCTCATCAGAAACTCTACCTGACAGAAGGGGATGGCATAAAGTACTCAAGGTAATGGAAAGCAAGGAAGGTCAAGGAGGGATGGTGGTGTGATGTAATCACTCAAAGAGCTTGTATACAAAACAAACAAACAAACAAACAAACAAGCAGTGGAAAGTCACCTCTAATTATATCAGGCTTGAGTCTTGACTATGGTCTTGATTGGTAAAAGGTTCACAGCAGGAATTCTGCAAGCGCTGTTGGTGACCTGGTCTTCCCGGGCCTACTGTTCATTCTTCCCCTTTTTTGGTGTGTGTTAGTCTTTGCTCAAGGATATTTTTCCATTGACTTTTAGAGAGAGTGGAAGGGAGGGAGAGAGACAGAGAGAAACATTGGTGTGAGAGAGACACATCAAATGATTATCTCCTGCACAGCCCCGAGCAGGGCCGGGGATTGTGCCTGCAACCAAGGTACATGACTTGATTGGAATCAAATTTGGGACCCATCTGTTCGTGAGCCGGTGCTCTAACCACTGAGACTGATCAGGACATTTCTTGTTTTTTTGGTGTGTTTTTTTTAGTGTGTTTGTTGTTGTTGTTAATCCTCACCTGAAGTTATTTTCCCATTGATTCATAGGGAGAATAGACAGAGGGAAAGACAGAGAGAAACATCGATGTGAGGGAAACACATCCATTGGTTGCCTCCTGCATGAGTCCCAACCAGGGTCCTGGCTGGGGAGGAGCCTGCAACCCAGGTATGTGCCCTTGACCGGAATCAAACCCAGAATCAAACTTCTGGTCCTCAGGCCAACGCTCTATCCACTGAGCCAAAGTGGCTAGGGCACATTCCTTTTTAAAAAAAAACTGAGGTACAGTTGGCCTCTAACATTACGTTAGTTGCATAGTTGTACAACATAATGTTTGATATAATATTTGCATTCATGTGAAATGTCCCTCGGCAAGCCTCGCTGGCCTCTGCTGAGACTGAGCTTCAATCACACACAAACCGGGCGGCAGCAAAGTGTCTGAGCCCCCTCGGGGCCCCTCCCTTTGGGAGATTCTCCCTCCTTGCTCTTTGTTTCGTCCAGATCTCTCCTATGTGGAGTCTATAGAGTCACGCTTTTCTCCTTTGCTGTTGTCCTTTATTGTCGATGCTTATTATGTGCAAACACCATGCTGGTACCTTTAAACTCTCCCTCATTTCTTTCTCAAAACAACCCAATGAGAACTTAAATTTCTGGCTCTACAAGGAGCTAGGAGCCTTGACTTAAAATACCCTGAAAAGGCTAACATGGTGAACCAGCGAGCTGGCAGGGAAGGAATGCTAAGCGCAGACTAGGTTAAGTTAGGAAGCCAGGCGTAAGGGGAATACTGAAGCCAATTTCAGCCAAACCAGGTGCACGGAACCTTTGGCAGTGCCAGCCAGGGCCGGGTGGGTCTCCCCAGTGAGCCTCACAGTAATGTGAACCTGCAGGGAGAGCGCAGACTGAACCCCGCCCTCAACCCCCCACCCCTCCATGCCACCAGGGAAATGCAGGTAAGATTGCTGGTCTCTAAACGAGGTGCAGGGGAAGGGGGAAGAAAGGGACGTATGTCAAGAAATAGCTGTAACCACAATACTTACATGGTTTGCAGCCCCAAATTATGGGGCTGCAAAAGACCTCACACCTATCATTTAATTTAAAAGAATTCTCCAATGGTGATGCTTCCATATGCCTGGCCCTTGCAAGTTCTCTGTGGAAGATCAGATCTGCACCTCAGACCTCACGGAGCTTCTACAGATAACATCACAAGAGAAGTAGCTTCATGGTCACAGCTGTCAGTCACAAATGGGAGCAGACACCGGGAGTGACAGCCAGCAGGAGGCCAGCTGCAGAGCCGGGCGCTGGGACCAGCGCACCCAGAGCACGAGGCCACAGGCTTGCCTGTGTCTGGGCAGTCGGCTGACAGGAACAGCCGCTCTCCATCTGCAACTACAGAACCCTCGAGTTTCAGTTGAGCCCATGTCCACCCACCGAGAGTGTGTTTCCGACTCTTTGAAGCTGTCTGTGATGGTGTGACCACCTTCTGGCTTATGGTGTATAAGCAGACAATAACCACCTCTCATGCAGTTATAAAACAAGATAAAATTAAAATACGTGACGTCAGGGTATGAGTTGGGAAGTGGAAATGAGAATTAAAATGTGCCGAGGTCCTTGCATTGTTCTGAGGAAGAGTACACTATTAGCTGCGTTTGGACTGTAGGAAGTATGCTTGTGAAGTTCTTTTTAGGAAACCTCTCACAGGCGCCATCTGGGCTGCAATTCAGGACCCATGGGTTCTAGAGGGAAGAAGGTTTTGTTCTGAGTGCTGCTATTTTTTGGGCCACAGAATAGGATTGCTGTGAACCAGGACCCAGCCCACCATTGACTGCCCACCGCCCTCTCCTCAGGAGCTGCCCAGCACAGCCGCCAGGACAACTGTGTCTGGGCCTTTCCCCGAGCACCCCACCTCTTCCCGACTCAGACTCACTCATCCCAAAGTCACAGGAGTCTCCAGAGCCCTCCCGCTGGCCAACTCCTTTCAAATAAACAGCCACACACACTCCGTGTGGAAGTCCCATTGGTCCACCCTGCCTGGCCATGTGATGTCTTCTCCACGCGCTCCCGGCCTCCCTCTCATGGGGGTTTGCCCAGTCATGCTTGCCTAGTGGACGCGTGTGCTTTCTGCGCGTCAGTACTCCCGGCGCAGCGGACTCGCAGGCTCCTGATGTGGCCCCGAGGTGCTCCAGGAGGGAGATGCCTCATGACACTTAAGAGAAGGAGCGGCTGTAGGTCCCAGAGTGGAAAAGCTCCTACGGATTCCTACGAAAACAGGCAAGACGGGAAGTCCTTGTGGTTGGGATCATACTGCCCCTTCAGTCTGACGGGTGGCTTGTTCTTGCACATTCAACACTCTCCCACGCCCTCAGCCTCTCGCCCGGACACCGCCAAGATGGCTTCACTGAGCCCAAGCCCCTCTGCCCTGTTCACTCATTAGCTGGTGAATGCTACTGCTCAGTGGCCTTCTGCCCTCAGCCCAGGGCCCAGGGCCCTCATTACTGCTCTCCTTAGTCTCCTATTTGTTTGTCCCCTTCGCTCCGTCCATAGGCATCCTCCCCGCTAAAGGGCAGGCGCACAGGACTCCCTGGCCGGGAAGCAGAAGTAGAACAGGTTTCTGGCCCCATCCCTGCCTCAGAGGGTGGGTCCCTTCCACTCTGACAACCTTGATCACCTCGTCCCTTTCTGCTTCCTGCTGCAACCCAGCCCAGTGCCCTGCTAGTGTGGTCATGTCTTTCTCCTTCCTCTCCTTCCTCTTGACCCCTAGTCTGTTCCTCCCCAGCTCAGCACGGCTTTGTTAGCTGCTCAGAGTTGACAAGAACAGGTCAACCTCTCAACTCTGCCCCCACCCTCTGAAGCTATAAAGGCCTGCAGCTCTTCCACATGAAGAGGCTACAGCAGCGCATGGGGAGTGTCAGGAGCCCAGCTCTCACCCGCCTCCAGCTCACGGCTCCTCCAAGAACACAGACTTAGGAGACCCCAGCCCTGGGAGCGTCAGCTCTTCCCTCTTCGCCGGGAGCTCCCCTTTCTGAGAACCTGCTCTTGGCCTTCCACGGCTTGGCCGCATCTGGGACCCACGCATCTTGCTTTCTGGCCACCAAGAGGCACATCAAGATGCAGACAGGAAGCATCCCCCTGATGTACTGGCTGCTGTTCCAGCTCCTGGTCTCGGAGCACGGTGAGTGATCTCAGAGCGGGGGCCGGAGAGCCGCTGAGGGGCTGCGGAGTGGTGGCCTCCCAGGGGCGGCGGCCGTCCTCCACGTGAGCACTTCGCTCTGCTCGTCACTCCCGTCTAACAACGAATGCCTGGGAGGCCCGCGGGCTCAGCGGGAAGACTGGCCTCAGAAGCCTCCCAAGAATCAGGCTCCGTCGCTACCTAGCTTTGAGGGAGCTGCTTAACTCCCTGTGCCAAGGGTTCTGCATCTATAAAATGGTAATGATTCATGGGATATGGCTGGGGCAGGGGGAGTTAAATAGCAAGGACAGGAAGAGTTGTCTACTTTAAAAAGTCTCACTCGTCTATATTCTATAAATTTAATTTCTCTCCTGCTCCTAACTTGATTCGCATCATCCTAATCAGCCTCAGACCAAGGAGAATAGAAGTCAAGAGTCAGAACGGACTCCCACTCTGTCTCCATAGCCTTGGCACTCAGACCTCAGAGCTCCATCTCCTACTGCACAACCAGGAAGCAGGACTTCCCAGAGAATTCATCATTTGGAATCAAAATTAGCCCTCTTATCATTTCGACTTACCTGTTCTCCAAAGCTTCTCAGTCAAAGCCACTCTCTCTTTCATGTGTCACCTCTACATGTGGTCGTCTCCATTTCCTATCCAGTTTTACTCATGATTCTGATCTTACCCGATTTCCATCCTATTGCAGCAGTAGGACCTTCCCCAAACAGAGCTATACTCTAACCCTATGTCACTTGAAATAAAACTGAGGGAAACACACACACAGAGTGAAATGAGCCCCAATGAGATAGATGCAGGCTTAGGCGAGGCCGTGTGTCTGTCCTTCAGGGTCATGAGGGCAAACAATGGGCACATCCTTAATTCCAGCTGAGCCTCCCTACATCTGTGGGTATTGATTTATGGCCTTTAATCTGGGCAGATCATGCACATTTAACCTACACATCACCTGCTCTTCTCCGGTCTTTGCCAAGGTGGTCAGTAGACCTGGCACTCCCAATGCGGATAGAATCACTCGCCAGCTAGGAGAGACAGAGAGCTGGCCCCACCTCAAACTGACTCATTCAGTCTGAGTGGTTTATTTTCTACTAGTGGCCCAGTGCGTGGATTCATACACATTGAAAAGAAATTAACTGGAAGAAATATTTTAATATAACTATTCGCCCTTTCTCTATAATAGACGTGTCAACCAAATTCATAATTGACAATGACAGATGGAAACAAACGCATGCAATAGCTGACAGCAAGAGCTTTATATATATCGCACATACGTGAGTCAGCTTAGCCTTTTGTAGATATAGAAAAAACCTGCTTACTTAGACCTGCTTTCTGATGTAGCTAAACTTTTTCCAGCTCAGTGAAGCACCCCAACTTCTCTTTCAGGTAATTCTGAGCAACACAGCAGGAAATATCTACATGAAGCAGATTTTTATTGCAGATCACACAGGGAGAACAAAGGGCACAATATTTACCTGCAGCAGTGTCTGACTGTATTCTGCACAGTGACAAAACCTGAAGTCATTTTTAAGGCCCACCATTTCTTACTTCTTTTCAGTTGGGTCACCTTTCTAAGCTTTCTAAATCTTCGTTTTCTGGCTAATGAAAAGAAAATAGAATTCCACCGAGTCTCCTATCTACCTACTCCAGGACTTCTGTGAGGTTCAAATGAGATGAGGCATGTGAAAACGCTTCACAAACATTTGGTTACAGTGTAAAATGTTTGCACCTGGCTATAAAGCAAACTGTGTTCCTGGGCTGAAGCAACTCCAAGGAGGCTAGTTGCTAGAGAGGGAGCTGGGAGTTGCTGCGTGATGCCATTACCCACAGAGTTGGACACTTAGCATATTAGCCTTTTATATAGATAGATAAGCTCTCCATGTGACCCTAATGTAGGTGTTCTCTGAATAACATTCTGAGAAATATTTTTCAAGGAGGAAGCAATAATACTTTAAGAATGAATGAATCAATATACTAGTTTTACCTGCTCCTACAATTCCTTTATGATGATTTTCATCTGTATTAGATCTTGTATAGAAGATTTTGGAATGAGCTTATTGCCAATGAAACTAGGTCAGCTAACCCTAGTGTTGGGCTGGGTGGGGAGGATGAAAGAGTGAGGCAGCTACTAATAAAGATGCAGGCTCAACAGCTGGGGTTCAAATTCCTATTCTGTTACCGACCAGCTATATAGACATGGGCTAGATTCAACATCTGTTAGCCTCCATTTCCTCATCTTTCCTGCTAATAGTAATAGAATCTTGTACTGCTACCTCAATAATTCATGGGCTGTGAGCATTAAATAGAATTGCCTACGTAACGCATTCATACCAATTGTTGAGCAGAAAGTATATATTCTTTCAAATGTGTCATTATTTATCATTTTCATCAGGTATAACCTCCAGCAACAACAGCACAGCCCTCCCCACCACTGGATCCAGTGTTACTTCCAGTGGCAACAGCACAGCCCTCACCACCACTGGATCCGGTGTTACCCCCGGTGACAACAGCACAGCCCTCCCCACCACTGGATCCGGTGTTACCCCCGGTGACAACAGCACAGCCCTCCCCACCACTGGATCTGGTGTTACCTCCAGTGACAACAGCACAGCCCTCCCCACCACTAGATCCAGCGTTACCCCCGGTGACAACAGCACAGCCCTCCCCACCACTGGATCCGGTGTTACCCCCGGTGACAACAGCACAGCCCTCCCCACCACTGGATCCGGTGCTACCCCCGGTGACAACAGCACAGCCCTCACCACTGGATCCGGTGTTACCCCCGGTGACGACAGCACAGCCCTCCCCACCACTGGATCCGGTGTTACCCCCGGTGACAACAGCACAGCCCTCTCCACCACTGGATCCGGTGTTACCCCCGGTGACAACAGCACAGCCCTCACCACTGGATCCGGTGTTACCTCCAGTGACAACAGCACAGCCCTCACCAGTGGATCTGGTGCAACCATGGGAGGCCCGGACAGCCCTCCCCCACCGGGAAGGCACACAACTTCCGGTGTGCTCAGCATAAGTGCTGCCGCCTCCACGAGCAGCGTGGGGCCCGCTGGCTCCCTGAAGCCCTGGGAGATCTTCCTCATCACGCTGGGCTCGGTCGCGGTGGCCGGGGGGCTCTTGGCCGGGATCTTCCTCTGCGCGGTGAGTGCCTGGGGAGGAGCGCAGGACGAGGAAGGCTCTGAGGAGCTCGGGAGTCAGCGGGCAAGCAGGGGAGGAAGACACCAAGAGAGGAGCCACGGGCAAGGGGGAGCCACTGGCTGGAGAGAAGGGCTGGAGGCAGGAGAGGCTGGAGGGGAGGTGGTTTGAAGGAGCTGGAGGAGACGCTGGAAGGAGTCGGGGGGAAGGTCTGTGAGGGGGCGCAGTGCTGACACTATTCACCTTCCTGTTCCAGAGAGACTCCCTGTGGCTGAGAGACGCCTTTGACGCCGCCGTCTACCGTCCCCATGACCTCCCCGGGGGCCCGGGGCCCGGAGGCAGGGAGGGTGCCCTCTACAGGCCGAGGCGGAGGAGACAGGTGTCGGCCGCAGCCCTGGAGATGAGAGGGCCCTACGCAGGGCCCTGAGAGGCTGGAAGGGCCAGCCTTCCTGAGGGAAGCGGCCGGGTGGGGACCAGCGCCAGGAGTCCGCTCCCAGCCTTTGGATCTGCACCGGACACTTCCTCCCCTCCCTGTTCCACCAGACCCTGGGGAGAGGAAACACGCTCACTGGTCATTTACTAAGAAATAAACACCGCAGGAACTCAGCCTGAGTGAGTGAGTGAGTGAGTGAGTGAGTGAGTGAGTGAGAATTGTTGGGAGCACTTACTCCGGAATCCTACTTGCTGCGCCAACTGTGGAGCAAGGTCCTCCCTGCCAGGTCTGACCCCCTGGACACAGGCATCAGACAGAGAGGACATGGAAGTCGTTTTGAGGTCATAAGAGTCTTTACTACAGACCAGTAACCACTGCTACCCAGGGGCCCTGCTGACAGGACAGACACAGCCCAGTACACACAGCAGCCCCTGCTGACACAGGACACACACAGCCCAGTACACACAGAGCAGCCCCTGCTGACACAGGACACACACAGCCCAGTACACACAGCAGCCCCTGTAAACACAGGACACACACAGCCCAGTACACACAGCAGCCCCTGCTGACACAGGACACACAGCCCAGTACACACAGCAGCCCCTGCTGACACAGGACACACACAGCCCAGTACACACAGCAGCCCCTGCTGACACAGGACACACACAGCCCAGTCACACAGCAGCCCCTGTAAACACAGGACACACACAGCCCAGTACACACAGCAGCCCCTGTAAACACAGGACACACACAGCCCAGTACACACACAGCAGCCCCTGCTGACAGGACACACACAGCCCAGTCACACAGCAGCCCCTGCTGACACAGGACACACAGCCCAGTATACACAGCAGCCCCTGTAAACACAGGACACACACAGCCCAGTACACACAGAGCAGCCCCTGCTGACACAGGACACACACAGCCCAGTACACACAGCAGCCCCTGCTGACACAGGACACACACAGCCCAGTACACACAGAGCAGCCCCTGCTGACACAGGACACACACAGCCCAGTACACACAGCAGCCCCTGTAAACACAGGACACACACAGCCCAGTACACACAGCAGCCCCTGCTGACACAGGACACACAGCCCAGTACACACAGCAGCCCCTGCTGACACAGGACACACACAGCCCAGTACACACAGAGCAGCCCCTGCTGACACAGGACACACACAGCCCAGTACACACAGCAGCCCCTGTAAACACAGGACACACACAGCCCAGTACACACAGCAGCCCCTGTAAACACAGGACACACACAGCCCAGTACACACAGCAGCCCCTGTAAACACAGGACACACACAGCCCAGTACACACACAGCAGCCCCTGCTGACAGGACACACACAGCCCAGTCACACAGCAGCCCCTGCTGACACAGGACACACAGCCCAGTATACACAGCAGCCCCTGTAAACACAGGACACACACAGCCCAGTACACACACAGCAGCCCCTGCTAACACAGGACACACACAGCCCAGTACACACAGCAGCCCCTGTAAACACAGGACACACACAGCCCAGTACACACAGCAGCCCCTGCTGACACAGGACACACACAGCCCAGTACACACAGCAGCCCCTGTAAACACAGGACACACACAGCCCAGTACACACAGAGCAGCCCCTGCTGACACAGGACACACACAGCCCAGTCACACAGCAGCCCCTGCTGACACAGGACACACAGCCCAGTACACACAGAGCAGCCCCTGCTGACACAGGACACACTCAGCCCAGTCACACAGCAGCCCCTGCTGACACAGGACACACTCAGCCCAGTCACACAGCAGCCCCTGCTGACACAGGACACACTCAGCCCAGTCACACAGCAGCCCCTGCTGACACAGGACACACACAGCCCAGTCACACAGCAGCCCCTGCTGACACAGGACACACTCAGCCCAGTCACACAGCAGCCCCTGCTGACACAGGACACACAGCCCAGTACACACACAGCAGCCCCTGCTGACACAGGACACACTCAGCCCAGTACACACAGCAGCCCCTGCTGACACAGGACACACACAGCCCAGTCACACAGCAGCCCCTGCTGACACAGGACACACTCAGCCCAGTACACACAGCAGCCCCTGCTGACACAGGACACACTCAGCCCAGTACACACAGCAGCCCCTGCTGACACAGGACACACACAGCCCAGTACACACACAGCAGCCCCTGCTGACACAGGACACACTCAGCCCAGTACACACAGCAGCCCCTGCTGACACAGGACACACTCAGCCCAGTACACACAGCAGCCCCTGCTGACACAGGACACACACAGCCCAGTCACACAGCAGCCCCTGCTGACAGGACACACACAGCCCAGTCACACAGCAGCCCCTGCTGACACAGGACACACACAGCCCAGTCACACAGCAGCCCCTGCTGACACAGGACACACACAGCCCAGTACACACAGCAGCCCCTGCTGACACAGGACACACAGCCCAGTACACACACAGCAGCCCCTGCTGACACAGGACACACTCAGCCCAGTCACACAGCAGCCCCTGTAAACACAGGACACACACAGAAGCCCAATCAAGCTGCCTCCCACGGGCCGGTCAGCAGCACATCTTTGTTCCAATTGGGACAAAAGAGGCTCCATGCCAAGGAGTGGCCTCAGTATTGGGGTGTAGAAAGGTACGCCTGTGCGGTGTGTGCTTGGCACCTCATATGGCAAACTGGCCTTGGACACCCTGCGTGCTCTGATCAGGTGCCCACGTGTGTGAGTGCACATTCCAGAGGAGCACACAGCCCGTGCTGAGTCTCCTGCTCTGAGAAGCCAGGGCCTCCTGCATTCACAGGCCCCGGGGGAGCCCCAGCCTGGCTGTCCCCTTCTCTCCTCCTTCCTCACTGCGGTTACCAGGGGAGTGAGAGGAGGGCCTGGGGCCCTCAGGCTGGACCCAGGCACGGGGGTGGGGGGTGCAGGTGCTGTGGGCAGGTGTGTCCCCTCCAATCGCAGTTTGCAGGGTCTTGTGTTTGCTCTGAGCCGAGCAGCAGGAGGAAGGGATGAGAGGAAGTGGAGGGTAACAGAGAGGAAGGACTGGGCCTCAGGCCAAAAGTAAACACAACTCATTCAACACACTGAACACCAATGACTTGCCTGCTCTAAAGTTTATCCAACCAGAGGCCCCGTGCAGGAAGTCCTGCCCTCGGGAGGGGCGGCCCCTCAGCCCAGCCTGAGCCTCTCGCAGTCCGGGAGCCTTGGGGATGTCCGACTGACAGGGGAGCGGCCTGAGCCTCTCACAGCCCGGGACCCCTCGCTTCTCACTGCTGCTCCGTACCACTTGGCGCTGCTCCCTAGCGCCGCCTGGGGCAGGAGCGGCTCCCGCCGCCACCCCGCCCTTGCCAGCCTGGGGCTCCGCTTGGCACTGAGCATTGCCCCTGGCGGTCAGTGTGCGTCACAGTGACCAGCGGTCCCTTATGTTCAGGCTACGTGTTGATTGCATATTAGCCTTGTATAATTTAGGATAAAGCTATCATATTAAAATGTGCACAAATGTGTAAGCATTAACACTTTGGTTTTTAAAAATAAACAACAGATGACTCAGAGCAATGAGACTTGGCGACAGACCGGGCCGATAGGGAGGAGGCGCGGCGAGGGGTTCAGCCTGTGACTAACTCACTGGTCACTCGGCAAACACTTCGCTCCTCCCAGAAACCGGCGTGTCCGCGAAGGCCGGTTACTCAGCCTCTGCCAGGGGTGCAGTCCGGGAGCGCCGACCGGGGCGGCTGGCCGGGCAGGGCCCGTGGCGGGCGGCGGCGCTGGGGCCCGGGCTCCCTGCAGGCATGTGCAGGCGGGGCGTGTTACAGGGCCCGGAGTCCAGGCCGTCCGCGTCATGGATGTGTGCTTGCTGAGACCGAGGCTGAGAGCCCTCTGGCCAGCACCGGCCGCCTGTGGAGCGAACGGAGGGCCCCGGCAAAGTGGCTCCTCGCTGAGGCGCCCTCCCCAGAGGCTTCCGGCCTCAGGCTCCCGCGGGCCCGCGGGGTGATAACGGGGCCTGGGCCTGTCAGATGCCATCCTGTCAGCCACGTTGGAGAGTGGAGGGCAGGAGGGATAAGACCTCCGCTTCGCAAACCCTCTGCCCCTCTGGTCACAGGGGTGTCCCCTGGGGGCGGGTCCTGGCGCAGAGCCAGGCGCCCGAGCAGGGCCGAGGCCAGCAGCCCGCCCGCCGCCGCTGCAGAATGTTCCGGATCCGTGGCCACCGGCGATGCCAGGAAGCCACACGGCGCGCGTGGTCTGCGTGGTGGTTGTATATAGCGGGCGATTTCCAGGAGGAAGATGCTCCTCGCTCCACACGTACTTCCCGAGGATTATGTTTCATCCGAGCGGAAAGGGCAGAGAGGCAGGTGGCGGGAGGCGGGAGGCGGGTGGTGGGTGTGGTGGGTGTGGTGGGTGGTGAGAGGTGGGTGAGGTGGGTGGGGTGGGTGGCAGGTGGGACGGGTGGCGGGTGGCGGGTGTGGTGGGTGGCGGGTGGCGGGTGAGGGATTGGACCTTCTGGCCAGCACAGACTGGTCCCAGGCCTGAGTTGGGGGAACGGGGAGCCGTCCTGTGTGGGGAGACTGCATGGCATGGCTGTTTTATGGTGGGTAGGTCTGTGTTTCCTATTTTCTTGAAAATATGGAGAAATATTTCATGTTCATTCACCTTCATCGGAAGGTTACTGAGGACTGTAACTTTTAAAGGCACATAAACATGCCTTTGGTGCACAAACGTGCTCAGAACTACCGTTAGGCACGAAGACATCACAGCCGGACAGTGTGGGCAGCGGGGAGCCGCGCCGGGCCGCCAGCCGGCCGGGCCAGCCCGCCCACGGCTCGCGCAGGACAGGCACCCGCAGCGAAGTCACTGCCTTTGTGCCAAGCAGCTTGGATCAGGCTCAGACCCCTCAGGAGCACCGGCTTTCCCCGCGCAGCTGGCGGCCGGTGTCTGAGCAGCGCAGGCGGCGGGCGGCGCGGGCCCTCTGTCTGCG